TTATAGTAAAATATGTGGATGACATTTTTGCCATAGTTAAACGAAAGGATGTGGACATTATATTGAAAACACTCAACAAATATCATCGAAAATTGCAGTTCACAATAGAAACAGAGGCAAATTTCCGGATCCCATTTTTAGACGTTATGATCCATAGATGAAATGACTTTAATACTTGACTGGTATTCGAAACCTACATCCTCGGGACGTTTAATAAATTATTTGTCGTCACAACCCTCTAAGTACAAAATTAATACTGCTAAGAACTTAATTAATAAGATACTAAAAATAAGCCATCAACAATTTCATGACACAAATATAAAGAAAATATTCAACATTCTTAGAAGTAACAACTACCCGGAGCACATAATTCATAGCCTAGTTAAACAAATAACAACACAAATTAATGACAAACGCAATAACCCTACGATCACAACAACTAATAATGAGACAAAACGCTACTACAGTGTAACATACGTACCTAGACTCAGCGAAAAATTTGATCGCAAGAAATACACTAACAACCAAAATACAATACTAGCATACCGATCAAATCACACGTTGTCTTCAGTATTTACCAAAACAAAAACTCCAATAGAGCCGCACCAACAAAATAACGTAGTGTACGAAATAACATGCGAAGGAAGTGAAAACGAAAAGTGTAATAAAATTTACATTGGAACGACAAAAAGGCCGCTTGCAGTTCGCTTATCGGAGCCTGAAGCGGACATCAAGAAGAACAAGAGCAACACGGCACTATCACAACACATATCAGCAAGCGGACACACAGCTGATGTAACTAAAACGAAAATAATAGAGAAAGAAAAGAGGGAGAGAACAAGATTCACGTTGGAAAGCTTACGGATATTACAGAAGAGGGACAAGACAATGATCAAAAAGGAAGACACGGATGACATCGCGACTGCTTATTTATTATGTTTATAGCTAAAATCAACAGTATGACAAGTGTACCACACGACGTTGGTATCGATGCGGACCAATTAGTTCAAGTTTTTATGTTATTTATTTGTTTATATATGTACGTGAATTTTGAAACTCGTGTTCATATGTAAGTGCAAAATTTTAAAAATCCTTTAAAAATCTGTGATTGTTTTTGTGTATTGTTTGTAGAACTGTTCACAAAAATTTTGTGTGTCATTACTAATTTTAAATTGTATGTCTATTTATATGTATGTTGATGTGAAAATAAAAGGAGAATAAAACACCCCTGAAGATGCTAAAGAATTTAGCGAAACGTCGGGTAAAAACGTGAAGAACAGTGTTTTCTTGCACATAAAAGGGATCAATAAGCCTATGAAATACCTATTGAAATTTTAATATACCACGGGTTATCTTCGTTAACATTAAATTCATTAAAAAGAGATCTGTTTGTTCCTCCAAGATCACACACCATTGCTACAACATTATATCCGCAGCTATAGCATTTTTCTAAAATTCTTAGGATCACATCATCCGTCATCTTACGATCAAAATCTTAAAACACTGGCTGTTTCCATTTAGACATAAGTCCTAATTGAACAGTATGAGTATATGTATTTGGCTTCAGTCTTTATGCGTATCGCCGTAACTGTAGCTTGGGCTAGCTTTCTACCGCAATAAAAACGCTTGGGCGGTTAAATTTAACAAATGTATGAATTCTTTATTTAAACTTTAAAATTGTTTCACCAAATTATAGCAGTAGTTAAGACGCGTGTATAGCAAAGCGTAAGACCAATTCTCGAGTGGCGTGACAAAATTAAAAATGATTTGCATGTAGCTTACGTTTTCGTAAGGGTAAAAGGAAAACGGACTACAGTTAGGTTTATGTTCTAAAAAATTACAATGTAAGAATAAAGGGAATATGCAAACTAGGCAAATGAAAAGAGTACAAAATACGAAATGATATTTAAACGAATGTATGATATTGTAGCGTAGGTGAATATGAATTCAGGGCTGTTGGTGCTAAGCAACAGGGTGCTCCACATAATTCCCCCTCCAGACGAAAGCTACATGTAACGACTGGGGAATTTTACTCGGCGACCTACACGCGTAAATTTCGCCGATGCATTGTGGTTTTCCCCATCTGCTTGCAGCTCTTGGCTACCGCTTGTTGTAGGTTTCGTCGATGCGTTGTTTTGCTCATCTGAGTGCGGCTTTTGGGTACCGCTTGTTGTAGGTTTCGTCAATGCGTTGTTGTGCTCATCTGAGTGCGGCTTTTGGGTACCGCTTGTTGTAGGTTTCGTCAATGTGTTGTTGTTGTGCTCATCTGGGTGCGGCTGGATTACGTTTGGTGACGCTTCGATATCGGACCTTGTTAAAAATGCTGGTTCAAGCCTGTCCAGACTTATGTTGCTTGGCCGACCTCGGATGACTACTGTGAAATATTTCGACGTTTTACGTGCTACTGCGTATGGGCCGTCGTAAGGATTAGTCAGCGCGGGGCGCACTGAATTATTTCTGACAAAAACGTGTTGCTGACCGTAGCATTTGAGAAACGAAAGTTGTTGGAGGCGAATGGTGTGCGGTATCAGTCGGGCGTAGTTTATCCATTGACTTTCGAAATCCCGCTACTGTGTCGCTGGTCAGTTCAGCGGGTTTGGTCGGGTGGAAAAATTCGCCAGGAACTTTCAAAGTTGTTCCGTAGACGAGCTCCGCTGGAGATGCGCCAATATCTGGTTTGAAAACTACTCTAAGGCCAAGTAGGATCGAAGGGAGATAATGTATCCACTTGCTGGAGTCATGGGAAAGAACTGCTGACTTTAGACATCGGTGCCATCGTTCGATTATGCCGTTGGATTGGGGATGATACGACGTAGTTCGCAGATGAGTCGTTCCAATCAAAGAAATAAGTTCCTGAAATATTGCGGACTGCAACTGCCGGCCACGGTCTGATGTTATGCGTTCGGGAACACCGAATCTCGATATCCAGTGCGTCATTAATGATTTGACGACAGTTTCGGCAGTCATATCGGGAATGGGAACTGCTTCCGGCCAACGTGTAAAGCGGTCGATGATCGTTAGGCAACATCGCTGGCCTTCACATAATGGAAAGGGGCCAACGATATCGATGTTAATGTGTGTAAATCTCCCCTGAGGTGGTTCGTATTTAACCAGAGGAGATTTCGTGTGGCGATGAACTTTTGATCGTTGACATGCTTCACACGTTTTCACAATTTCCGAGGTGTGCTTTTTTATGCTTTTCCAAACAAAACGTGCAGTGACCAACTTTGTAGTGGCGCGTACTCCAGGATGGTACAAGTTGTGTATTTTAGACACGATTTGGTTGCGAAATTCTTTCGGAATATACGGGCGTATTTTCGGTGTCGATGTGTCGCAAATTACCTCGACGTTCGTTCCTGGGAGAACAAAAGGTTTTAGTGTTAGTGAAAATTTTGGATTTGTACCTGATGTCAACAATGTTTGGAGCTCCTGGTCGTTTTGTTGTGCGTGTGCAATCGCACGATAATCTATGACTTGATCCAGTGCCTGTATTCGTGAAAGCAAATCTGCAGTGACGTTGGCTTCTCCCGATATGTGCCTTATGTCCGTCGTAAACTGTCCGATGAAATCAAGTTGGCGTGCACGGCGCGGGGCCGTTTTTTCTAGCTTCTGCTTAAAGGCGAAAACAAGAGGGCGATGATCCGTAAGTAGATGGCAACGTCGTCCTTCAATCATGTACCGAAAGTGTGAAAGCGCTTGAAACATTGCGGTCAGCTCTCGGTCATACGTACTATACTTACTCTGGGCCGGTGTTAGCTTTTTCGAGTAAAATGCTAGGGGTTGGAATGCGCCGTCGACTACTTGATGCAAAGCAGCACCCACGGCAAAATCCGAGGCGTCTGTGTGCAGAGACAATTCTGCGTTTGCTGAGGGATGAAAAAGCAAGGTAGCGTTTGCAAGTTCTTTTTTACAGCGCCGAAATGCTGCTTCGGCTTCGGTATTCCAAACTAGTGGTGTAAGGTCGTTTCTTTTGTTTCCCTCGATCAGTTCCTGGAGTTTAGACTGATAGTCAACGGCATGGGGAAGAAATTTCCGATAAAAATTCAGCATGGCTATAAAACGTTTCAAGTTCTTGGCTACTGTTGGTTTAGGAAAACTTAACATTGATGCAACTTTTTCCGGAAGAGGCTTGATTCCTTGTGAATCGACGAGATGNCCTGGAGTTTAGACTGATAGTCTACGGCATGGGGAAGAAATTTCCGATAAAAATTCAGCATGGCTATAAAACGTTTCAAGTTCTTGGCTACTGTTGGTTTAGGAAAACTTAACATTGATGCAACTTTTTCCGGAAGAGGCTTGATTCCTTGTGAATCGACGAGATGACCCAGGAACTTAATTTCCGTTTTCCCAAATACGCACTTAGAAATATTTACTGTCAGATTATTTTCCTGTAATCGCTTGAACAGTAAACGTAAGTGTTGCTGATGTTGCTCGATTGATGACGAAGCTACGCAAATATCATCGATATATGGAAAAACAAAGTCGAGGCCCCGCAGCACTTCGTCTATTAGGCGCTGGAACGTCTGTGCTGCGTTGCACAGCCCGAAAGTCATAAATTGAAACTCATACAAACCAAATGGCGTCGTAATGGCGGTCTTTTCCACGTCGTCGGGGTGAATTGGTACCTGATGGAATGCTCTTTGCAGGTCGATCTTCGAAAAAATCGATTTTCCGCAGAGAACATTAGCAAAGTCCGTTAGGTATGGCAGTGGATACCGATCGGGTACCGTCTGAGCGTTGAGCGCCCGATAATCTCCGCATGGCCTCCAGGTTCCATCGCTTTTTTTAACCATATGGAGTGGGCTTGACCAATTGCTGCTAGATGCGCGACAAATTCCAGCTTTCAGTAAGAAGTCGAATTCGGATTTTGCTGCTTCCAGTTTGTCAGGCGGAAGGCGACGCGGTCTACAAAACACTGGCTGCCCTGTCGTTTGAATTCGATGACAAATTGTTGATTTTGACCTGGAGGCGAGTGGTGCCAACTTTGTGATGTTCGGAAATTCTGCTAAAATTTCGCTGAAAACCCCAACAATCGTGAACGTTTTCAACTCTGTTGCGTTATATTTTATAGTTGGCGATAGAGGCGATGCTAGGGATGTCATGTTGTCGATGAGCTTATTCCGACGCATATCTATAAGAAGATCGTAATATTTTATGAAATCAGCGCCGATGATAGGTTGGGTCACATCGGCGATTACAAATGACCAGATAAACTCACGCCGAAGACCGAGATCAAGTTTCATCCGCTTTTCGCCTAAAACTCTGATGGCAGCCCCGTTGGCAGCATAAAGTTTCAAGGCACTAGGACGAATATCGCATGATGGTGAGGCTAGCGGTAGGATCGATACGTCGGCCCCCGTATCGATGAGGAATGTCGTCTTTGAAATTCGGTCTTTTACTTTGAGGCGAAAAACTCTACGCTGTGCGACAAACGAATCGCACTGTAGCTCCACGTGGTTTTTTAGTCATAGTTCTCCCTTCTCTGTCGTAAGCGCAGCTGCACGGTGTCTATAGCGGCATGGGCTGCGGCACTTGCGAGCGTTTTTACCGTACTTTTGGTGGTACCAGCATTGTGAGCTGGCAGATGATACCGGACTACTTCCTCGTTCAGATCGGTTCGTGCTTCGAGAGCGATACTTACTGGCAGACTGTTGGCGACAGCGAGAAAGTACGGAAAATCTATCAAGTCGTTTGCCTAGGTCTTCTACAGTTGCGTGTAGTTGATTTATTTCGTTGGTAACTCTCGATTCCACTCCATTAACCTGATGTGGAACAACTGCGTCTATGATTGAGTCTGCAATTTTTGTAAATTCCGTAGCGGTGCCCGACGAGGCAGCTACGACCGGTTGGGCGAATTCTGGGAGTCGCTTAGTCCAGAGACCCTTCAAGGCAGCTTCCCCTAGTGTACTCCCGGCGACACGCTTCATTTCGAAGTATAATTCGGAGGGCTTTTTATCTCCGAGTGGAAGCTCGGAAAGAAGTCGATTTAAGCGCCTCTGTTCGCTATCGGCGAAATGCTCGGTTATTTTCGCTTTGACGTACTCAAACCGATCCTGTTGCGGCATTGATGCGATCACCCCCGATAATTGGCCAATCACTGTGGGGTCGAGTGCTGCAAACACGGTTGCTGCCTTCTATTTGTCGGACGTAATCCCAGAAGCGGTGAACCAAAAATCCATCGAGGTGAACCATGCCTCGATATTATTGCTGGACATGGTGGGGATTGGTAAGCGAGCATAAACAGCGGCAGCTTGTCTCTCGGGTGTCGGTTGCATCCCCTCGGAATAGCGGGGGTTCTGAAACGGTGTAGCATTCGTCGGTTCTGATGAAATTCCGCTATCGGAATTGGTGATCATATTAGCAGTTAAATTTTCTATCGCGTGATTTTATAACTGTGTTTAATAGCGTTATAACGGAGTCTCACATCCGACCTTCAAACGTTGTACGGGGTCACCAGTTTATGGCTTCAGTATCGCGTATCGCCGTAACTGTAGCTTGGGCTAGCTTTCTACCGCAATAAAAACGCTTGGACGGTTAAATTTAACAAATGTATGAATTCTTTATTTAAACTTTAAAATTGTTTCACCAAATTAGAGCAGTAGTTAAGACGCGTGTATAGCAAAGCGTAAGACCAATTCTCGAGTGGCGTGACAAAATTAAAAATGATTTGCATGTAGCTTACCGTTTCGTAAGGGTAAAAGGAAAACGGACTACAGTTAGGTTTATGTTCTAAAAAATTACAATGTAAGAATAAAGGGAATATGCAAACTAGGCTGCAGTTCCAAATCATGCTTCAACTTTGCAATTTCGGTTAGGGATGCAAATTTTGAGGAGTAACATCGATACATCGATGTCTCGGTACATCGGAGAAATCAACATCGATGCCAAAATACATCGCCAGAAAATCATCGATACATTGATGGTTTCCGATGTTTGACAATTTGTTAGGCTCTAGTGGGATTAAGATACATTTAATATTTTTCAATCCAAAACAATACAGTAGGGCGGCTCAGCATCTTGTGCATATGCTCTTGCATTTGCATATTCGTTGCATTTGTAAATTCACAACAATAAAATGCACACGGTTGCTATGGCAGCCAGCTTAAACTTTGCAAATGCAATTCCAACTGGAAATCCCAGACCATTTCCACAACATCCTGAACAGCCTTAGTCTTCTGTTATGCAGTGAGGGAAAATTTCCCTGTATTTAATTAACCTTCTACTAAAACATACATATCGTCACCTGAAACGCAAAATAGCGTAACAACATCGTCACTGAAATGGAAAAAGTCGTGACAATTTTGTTTTTGCATACAACGATGTGGGGAGTTGTAATTCGATGAAATCCGTCATAGCAATCAAAAAGTGAATTTTGAATTTTTTTATAAGTTAGAACTTTTTGCATTTCAGTGACGACGTTGTTACGTTATTTTGCATTTCAGATATGTATATATCGTCGTTTAAAGTGCAAAACCGCGTATTAACAAAATGCAAAACCGCGTATCAGCAAAATGCAAAACCGCGTATGTGAAGTTGTAGTAATATGTAATGTGATAAAAACACTCATATTTCAAAATGGTTCTCTTTTTTATAAAGCAATCGTATTCCTGGCTAGAAAATATATTAGGACGAATGGATAGGGATTGAGCCAAGAGCTTGTGTGAGCAAATCCAATTTTTGGCAGCCAATGTCAGTTACGCGGTTTTGAAGAATGACGATACGCGGTTTTGTACTTTAAACGACGATATGTATAATGTAAATTCATACAATGGTGAGGCCGTTGGGTCCCAAGTTTATAAGGACTGAGTTCTTTGGAATTTTATGAGCCCGCATAATGAGTATTTTCTATCGCAGAACAATAAATGTTTCACATACGGGTGGTCGGTCTGTTTTAAGTGTAGGGCATTCCAAAAACTGCATACTAAAGAATGATTAAAACAAATTTTTAGAAAAATAATGGGTTTGTGTATCAAAAGGAAGTGTGAGTCACACTAAATTCGATTTTCAAAACATCGTTGAAACTGACCTCGATGTATCGTCAATTTAGCAATTTTAGAAAATTGTAAATATCGATGGCAAACATCGAATTTTGAGCCGATATTATCGATGTTTCAAAAACATCGATGCATCGTTTGCATCCCTAATTTCGGTACACTGCTTACTATTTATTTATTAAGCACATTATTTTCCCGTTGTGATCGTTGTCTAAAAATAGTGTTTGTATTGTAGCAAAGGAACGATATGTGGAAGTAAATCTATTAAACTTACACTTTCGCTTTCAACACCTCAATTTCTTGCATGGTGCTGTCATAAAAGGAGAAGTCGCGAGGTGGTGATGTCGCGGCATTTATATAAAGAGGGCAATTTTCCTGGTTCTCATCTGTAATTTACTTGGTTCAAATTGCGTCAGTGCCATGTTGGTGTGGGTGCCTAGTCATGTAGGTATTGGAGTTAACGAGAAAGCGGATCAGTTTGCAAGGGCTGCAGTTAGTGAGGGATTACCCATCAAAATGGATCTCACCTTGGGGGAGGCTGTATGTAAAATTCAAAGCGCTATTTGGACTGAGTGGGAAATGGAGTTTAGAGAAATTAGTTGTACTAAAGGTAGTTTTTTTTGCGGGTAATATCAGTGATATCAAAAGGCGTCCTTGGTTTACTGACAAAAAATGTAATTTTGGTGTTCATGATATCAAATTAGTTAACAGGTTGATGATGGGGTACACATACGGTAGGACTTTTTAAAGCAAATTTCTGAGAGGTGTTAATGATTTATGTGATGTATGTGGAATCAGAGAGACTAGTGATCACCTTATTTTTCATTGTAGTAAATTTTCAGCCGCTAGAAGCACGTATACCTTTTTTAACAACTGTAATAATTTAAAAGATTTTTTTAATAATTCTAATTTGTATCATTTTAGTGAGCTAATACACTTTCTACACAAGGTAAAGCTGGACAAAGTCCTTTAGGGATAATGAGATTAAAATATAAATTAATAATAAGTATAGTAATATATTTGTACATATAGTTATGTATATTAAAGAGTAGAGTTTTGGAGGAAAAAAAAAAATATAAGTTTGAGTAATTGAATTTCGAAGTTGTGATATGTATTGCAAAAGACTGTTCATCAAATGATTGTATTGCATTTGTATGGTTGTGATTCGCACCCTTGTAGTGCTTACTAAAGTACAATTTGAGTACAAATTATTTAAAAAAAATATATAAATAAATTAATGTATAAGAATAATATTAATTAAGAATGGAGTCTATGTATTCTGTTTAAAAAAAAAAGAAGTGGATTATTAATTTTTGATTGGTGTAATTCCAAATTTCTGAAGTGCCTAAATTGCTTTTTGATGTCAGTTTAAGTTACTTAGAGTTAGTTGATTATCTTACGTGTTTACTTCTAATATTGTCATTGTGTAATTCTTTGCGTCTTAGTTTTTCTGTTTCAAGTTGTAAGCCACCACTCTTGGTCATCGTGGGGTCTTCGCTGGGCCTGCCTGTGTGGATATACGCTTACGACAAAGACGAACTAGAACTTGCTAAAGTTGATTGTACAACCTGGCCCCTGAGGTTAATAAGATACCTGGCCAACTTTTTAATGTCTGACGACATTGCTAATTAAACAAAAAAAATAATTTACTTGGCTATTATTTACTATCTAAGTTTTAAAATATAACTTTACCTTCAAACAACTCATTCGCTACGTTTGAGGGAGTATTTTCGTCTTGCTGAGCTGGAAGCACCTCATTCGCAAAATTTTTGGGACTGTTTTCGTCTTGCTGAACTGGATTTGCAGACGCACTAATGGGAATTGTCGGCACTGCATTCCGCTTCAGTAACCGCCTCTGAGCAAAACCTGTGTGTTTTCCAGAACATTTTAGCACTTTCAATTTAAATTAAATTCACATTTACCCATATCATATTGCATATTATTTTCTATGTCATCGGATGTAAAATGCTTTATGCATATGCAAGAATGCAGTTAGTCAAAAAATGCAAACACTTAAGTAGAGATTTTTGTATATTTCTGGTTAAGTACCACAAAGGCATGTTTAGTAAAATGTATATTTGCATGTAAGTATGTATATACGTTCATATGTATGTAAGTACGTGTGTACGTATAAGTTTCCGAGCACGTTTAGAGGCATTAAAATTGTACTAACATTTGCAGAATTGTTTTGCGTTGGTGTGAATTAGCCTGCAGCAAATATATGCTACTGCATACACAAATACGACGCACTGTAATTTTACAGGTGAGTATGTACCAGGGAATGGCTTTGGTTGATCGTCAACTGTTCATACTCATTCAATACCGCTGCTTTGTATGACTGAGCAGCGGCTTTGGCTTAGTAGTATCGATACCTAAACGAAATTAGAGGATGACTGAATACGAGCGCATTGCGTGCTGTCTTGCAAATACAGCCACCACAAGTGAACGATGCTTATAACTGCTCATACTGATATTGACTTCGGCAAATCTGTACTCTGAATGATCGTGCACGAAACCAGCAAACCAGCAGTTGAACGGCTCCGAAAACATGAGAGTCATCATTTGTTGCAGAAGTCGTTTGACTTGTTGCTGAAAATCATCTGACTTGTTGCTGAAAGCCATTTGACTTGTTGCTGAAAATCATCTGACTTGTTGCTGAAAATCATCTGACTTGTTGCTGAAATGACGACGAATGTGGTAAGGGTAATTTATCGTCTCGTATGCATGTATGTATTTATAGCGCGTCTACCATTCAATTGCATTGCTCACTGCTGGCTAGTTGTGAATATGCATACGTACGTAAGTATGTATGTATGTACATATCAATGCTTCATTTCAAACAAGCAAGTGTCTTTGAATGTTTTTGAACTACAGTATCATCACTTCGGCAACACGTCAAACGCGCCTTCAGCAACAAACCAAGGCGGCGGCTTGACTTCTGCAACAAATCAAGTTAGCTAACTGCGGCATCTTGCCTTCGCCAGTCTTTCACATAAGCTGTCATGCTTTCGGCAACCGTCCAAAGCAGTATCGTGCTTTTGGCAGTCGATCAAATACGGCGGTTGCTGGTTTCGTGCACGATCATTCGGAGTACAGATTTGCCGAAGTCAATATCAGTATGAGCTGTTATAAGCATCGTTCACTTGTGGTGGCTGTATTTGCAAGACAGCACGCTTTGCGGTGGTGTTCGTTCATCCTCCGTTTTTAACGTGAGTAGGCTTAAAGTCACAAAAACAGCACCCTTTGCCAATCCCTGGTATGTACATATATTTGCTTACATTAAATTGTATGGGCAAAAGTGTGAAAGGACACTTAAAGCTACAAAACCTTTACACTGTTAATGGTGACTGCTTAACAATTAATAATCCTACCAACAGGATTTTATGTATGAACATATGAATTAACTACTCTTTGATCTCACACATAACATAGGAAAGGGAAAATGAAAATTATTTTGGCGCTACTACCCGTATGTGCCTTTATTTGCCCAAATTTAGATAAGTATTTGGCTGATTTAGCGAAGAAAACCATATTTTTATGTATGTTTTAATTAAATACATTATATATCGTAATACTATTGTACATTCTCTGTAACAATTTATTTATTCACTGCGAATGCTTAGCACAACAGGTGGCTTTTGGAAGCAGATGTGTATTTTTGCTCTGGAGTAAGAAAGGCCATCACTTCGATACTGCCATCTAGCGTAACATATGAAAATATTTCTAGCTACCGCTATATTTGCTTTTGTAATTTTTCGTATTAACCTAAGTGTAAATAGATATTGGATTCAACTGCATTTCCAACACACCGAAATGAATTATAAATATAAATTATTATGCAGCCACTTCAATGTTAGTTGACATATGTACGAGTAGATGTCGTGATGGGTATGCGAAATGGGTATTTGGTATTTGATCGCCCGGTTAGTTGTTGAAATTCGAAAGTATATTTCAGCTTCACCAAGCAAGCCATGGTAATTGAATCCTATTTGAGGGTTTACTTATTTATGTATGTGTGAAAGGATAATGCTGCATATATGTATGTATGCATGTCTTAATGTTAACAACTGACTATTGATATGATACAGCTGAACTTTAAACCAAAGACCAATGGAAAAGTTAAATAATTTCCAAAAAAAAAACAAAGGCGTTTTTAATTGCTACAATTTGTTATTGAATTAACTACGATGGACGCTTTTCCTTTAAAGTTATTCCATTGCATAAAAAAATTAATACGCTACGGTAATCAAAGCGGTACTTGCTTAAATTTCTATAGTGCAGGCTTGCGTTATATCCACAATAAAATATCCGAGTTTTTCTAAAATAGCCGGAGTTTCTGTGCAGGAATAAATCCTCATGTAACAATGCCGCCAACATATTCGCATCTCGATTTTCACACCTGCCTTTAGAGGACACTCATAAAAAAAAATCGAATACATGCAAGCTGTCAATCCCTGTTTTATGCTCATTACATGCCGACGCCGAAACAGTAGCCGTATAAGCACACCAGTCGTTTCCCTTCTGTGCCCACTGATGCCAATTGGAAATGCCAAGTAAAGCCAAGTCATTCTCCACCAGGTCTTTCTATTACAGTGGGGGCTTCCTTCTTCCTCTGCTAACACCAGCGAGTTCCGAGTTGAATACTTTCAGAGCTGGAACGCCGGTTTCCATTCGAACGACATGGCCAAGCCAGCGGAGCCGCTGTATTTTAATTCGCTGGACTACTTATGTCTATATCGTTGCAAGGCTCATACAGCTCATCATGCCATCGTCTGCGGTACTCGCCGTCGCCAACGCGGAAAGGCACGTAAATCTTTCTCTCAAATACTCCAACAGCCGCCGCATGGGATGTTGTCTGCGCCATATCCCAGCACGGGTATGATGAATGACTTATATAGTGTGGTTTTCGTACGTTGAGAGAGGACTTTACTTCTGAATTGCCTACTCAGCCCAAAGTAGCCCTTGTTGGCAAGAGTGATTCTGCATTGAATTTCCACGCTGACGTTATTATAGTGTTAATGCTGGTTCAAAAGTAAATGAACTTCTCTACATCCTCGAATTTATAAATGTCAACAGTGACGTGGGTGCCGAAATGCGAATGCGCTGACTGTTTGTTTGATGACAGAAGGTACTTCGTCTTCAGTAGTAAAAAAAATGTTTCCTATAGATATGCCTAAATCACTAAGTTTGGTATTGGGAGTGAACTATGGGAGCCAGCAGAAAAAGGAGAAATATATCCCGTCAAAAAGTAAAACATTAGCATAGAAATTTAAATAAAAAAACAACTAATATTTTGTAATTTTTGCAAAATCAAGCTACTAACGATAAATATCGATGCATAAATGAACAAATGCTGAATGGTTATATCAAAATTTGCAATAATATTTTGTATAAAATAGAAGCAGGATACGCCATATTGTACGTGTCCCTACCGTACATACTAGTACATGGCGTATGAGGAACATTTTCCGTAATAACCCCTTATTAGACGGATAAAGAAAATCACAAAACTAGTCGCATGGGAGTGCCCTTCTAACAAGGGAAATATGCCCTTTTCTGACTCTTTTTTTATGAGTTGATAAGGGGGTTCCAACTCACAATTCTGAGACTTTTCTGGCTCTGAAATGAGTTCGTAAGTTTATATGGAAATATATACAAATACGTATGTATAAACATACGCAGGCCATTTGAATTTATATAATCATTTCTACGGAATGTTGGTATGAGTTCGGTACGAGTAAGTATCGAGTACCTACTTCTCTCCATACATTTGNAAATCACAAAACTAGTCGCATGGGAGTGCCCTTCTAACAAGGGAAATATGAAATGAGTTCGTAAGTTTATATGGAAATATATACAAATACGTATGTATAAACATACGCAGGCTATTTGAATTTATATAATCATTTCTACGGAATGTTGGTATGAGTTCGGTACGAGTAAGTATCGAGTACCTACTTCTCTCCATACATTTATAGTATCAATACTTTTCTTCGATATTTTTAAAAAGCACAGGAATCGAGTACAAGGCGGTATCAGAACAACACTGCCCGTGCCTGAAAAACCATAGTGCAGCTCTTCCCTGCAAAAATCGTTGGACCATGTAGTCTATTTGTGGTAAATTGGAGTACTTACAAAAGTGTTCCTCTGCTGTAGCGGACCAACTCGTGTCTCTGCGCCAGCTTATTGTTTGTTATCCGATCACTGCTCGTGTTTTAACGAAACGTGATTGAAGTTGAGCATTTGAAAGCACACTTGCATGTCTGGCTATAGCTGAACGTGTAGAGATGCTCGCTGTTAGTTCTTAGCTCCCAGCATGTTCGGGTTCGAATACCGTCAGAGGCAACATGTAATTTTTAATTTTTGTCTTGGTTTTTATTAATTTCGAAAAAGCATTTGAGAAGTGAAGAACAAAACCGTGTACAAACGAAAAAATATAACAATAATGCCATTGTTAATATGTTGGAGTAGTTTTGTGCTACTCTGATGTAATGCAGGGATGGAGTATATGGTCCTGCCCTAGGACATCGCAATGTTAATTGGACCATATTTTTTATATGAATTGTGGTTAATTTTGGAGTACTCTTTGGTCCTTAGGGAGTACTCTTTACACGCATGAATGGAGTAGTCGCG